CTACTTGCACGACAATCTTATCAAGATTCCGACGCCTCAGCTCCAAGCCAATCGTAATTGGCGACAGGGTATTCTATTGGAGCGAGGATAAGTCCAATATCAAACCTGACGGCTCGAAAGAAGGAATGTGGCTAAAAGGCAAGGTAATATTTACAGATGGCACCATGGTTGGCATAGACCTTGGAACCAGATTGCTCAAGGTCAACATCACCAAGTTGAGTAAAGATGAAACCAAGTCGCCATCCAGACCTGGACTTGGCTTGCCATCCTCCGATGATGATCTTCATGAAGATCTATTAGAACAAGCCAAATCAGCAGATCGACCAGCCAGGCGAAGACAACACAGGATCAACAAAGTTCCACAGAACAGCAGCAGCTTCATCCTCACTGCCAGGAGGCGAGTCAACCACGTAGTCAGTTGACTGGGCAGGTGGGGTTCGACTCCCGTGGGGTGACCCAATACCCTCGACAATGGAGTCGTATAGTATTGTTCGTTGTAAATAGTAGGGGTTGTAAGGAAATGGTCTGCGTCGTCTCACGACTCTCAGCAACAACGGAACACTGACCTTTTGCTTCTCTTCACAGCTGTATATTGGATGTTTACCTTGAATCTCTTATCAAGGACTTGAGCCAGATGCATTCACATGCATATGTCGGCTGCTCTCAACACAACACTTCCCCAAAGGCCCAAGGGACCTCAAAGGAGGGGAAAGAACAGGGTGACCCTCAGAACCAGCCCTTAGGATTTTAGCCTGCGGCTCGGAGATTCTTAGCATCCCCCATCCCGGGCTTGGGTACATCCCTGGGTCGGGAACCATTCGCAATCTTTTCAATTCAGCGAAACGTCTCTGCACGAGTTTGGCCGGGTTCTGTAAACTTAACAGAAAAAGAGACTGCTACAGGTCACATACCGGACCTCATGTGCAATGGTGCACACGCAGCAAACGATCTATAAGGAAATTGTACAGCTCCAGGACAATCTGCAGAACACGAATATCCATGACTAGCATAGTCCATCACCAGTTTGTAACCAGTATTAGATTGTAACATCGTATAATCTTTGACCACCAAATACCTGGCATCTCCAGATTAGTAGTCGCCGATGACGACACTGTACGGAAACAAGAAAACATTCATGGTGACAAATGCAAGTCTCATGCAAATACTTTAGAATTGTTCATGGTACCGCGCACGACGAATACCACGATCACCTTGTGAAAGTTGCAATCTCCAGTTGATCCCCCACATAGTGGAAATCGTAGTGGAAATGCTTGATCACCAATGCGACGATTCTGCGATGGCCCTTCTATTCGCTCTCCACCGGAACCTTTCTAGCAGAGATTGTGGTGTCTCCTCGGTCCGGTCAATCTTCTCGATGAAGCGCGATGGCAGATGTATACCATGAACATAGCACCATTGGATAAGAGGAGTATCCACCTTATCAAGTCCTTGAACGCAAATGATTGCAGCAAGATCAATTTTCAAGAACTTGCGTCCAATGAGCACGTCTGTTCGGTAGAAGGTCATGTAGTCGCAATTGAGGCCAAGGGCAATGCATCGGAATATAGTGTCGCTGATGGAGTTAATGTTGTTCTGACTGACACCTTTGAATTGTTCTGCTTTGATACCAAGAACATTGCAGGCGGTCCAAATCCGATACATAATGTGCAGCCCTTTCAGCTTCAGGAACCAATAGAACATCTCCTCGTCCCTGTGGCTCTGGCTTTTGAACCTCCCATTTGTAAATTTAGGAGCGGCAACAACTTCGTCATACGTGGGCGGAATTGGAACATTCTGCTCGTCGACCTCGGTGAAAATCCAGTCGTCCCTCCCGTTGAACGCGATGTAGGGACAATAGATTCCACCATTCTTGCAAGCTTCCTTGATCGTATCTGCCTCGTTGTTGGCGAATACTTTCCACATTTTGAAAAGTGCGACGCCAATGAAGCTAGAGAGGTATGATGCATCGCCAGGCTCGTCAACGCAGATGGCTTTGACTTGCAGGAGGTGTATTGCGTCCGCATCCTCTTCGGGATTGTCCGGGCAAACTCCCGCATCTTCATCGTCGATGTCCGTCCCAATGTCCGATGGAAGGTACGATCTGTCTGCGGATTGTCCCTCGCTCATCTCATGGGTGTCGGGTCGTTCTTCTTCCTCGACGATGCGCTCAGCATCTTCCTTTGCCTCTCGCTGAGCTTGATCACTTCCTCCGTCACATTTGCAGTGTCGGGTGGTTTGGGCTCGTCCTCATCCACATGGATCACGAACTTGCCGGTGGAAATGAGCTGACATTCGCATGCCGTGCAGTAGCAAAATCCCCTTGGAATAATGGTAGCACACGCTGGAAATACTTGATGGGTCGTCCTCGCGGTAGACGATGAATCTGCTGAGCAAATCCCTGATCTCAACCAACGAGTTGTTCAAAAGCTCGGGATCCTTGACGTTTCGCACGCCTTGATGACCATCTTCCTCAGCATGTCGGCATCCGCGGAGTCTTCGTCGTCCAGGAAATTGCTGAGGTTCCCAAGAAAGTCAGCTGGGGTCACACCCGCAGCACCCTTGAATCCTGGACAGACCTCGTTCTCGACAACGCGGAAATAGATCCGCCTAACCTCTTTGATAGGTCCTCTTTTCATGGACTTGAATCTCCAGATTTCCCTGATCTCTTTGAAGGGAATGGTCTCGAAGGCGACGATCGCCCCTCCCGATGTGACCCCTGACTGGTACACGGACAATGTCCTCGTTGGCACGTGAGGTCGTCCCCCTCTTTGACATCGTTCATTGCAGTCTTGGTCAAGATGTTCTCACCGTCCCAAGGTGCAAATACTCCAAAGTGTACCGCCAATCTGCGTGCACTGTTATTGCCGCCTGGAACAATACCTCTCAGAATGATACCTTCCAGTGCTGATGGCTTTGTCACGTGGAATGCTCCGCCCACGCAGTCGGACATGTTCGGGAACAATATGTTGCACAGCTCAGCAGGACGAGCGAAACCGAAGTCCGAATGCCCCGACGATGCTCGAATGCACCATGGTTGCCACCAACCTGGGCGCTCACGACGAGTCCAGTCGATGTTGTTCTTTGTCCATCCAGCCGCTATGAGACCCGCCATCGATTCATCGTCGATGACCTGATCGAATCTTGCAGCAAGAATCTGCAGTCTCGGTTTCCGTGCTTTGCGATCCTGCGATCTGATGCACTCGGCGATGAATTGAAATATGTCGCTCTTCCGGGACCGATCCTGCGGGAACGCGTCCTCGCGGCACAGGATGTCATCGATATCCACCCATCCTCCACCATTGCAAGGAATAGGGTTCCCCCTCTTTTGACCGATTTGATGACGTAGGATCCTCACCAGTGCTTTCGATGTATGGAACAAGTTGCTGTGGTGCATGTAGGATCCAAACGCTGTGTAATCTTTGTATGGCCAATAGGGAAAACTTGTATTTCTGTTCTGCATGTTCATGACTTCCAAGTGTAGTCCCTTTGGCAGTGTGTGGGTCATACACGAATACCCTTGCACACCTTCGCATACTGTCTCATCGCCGGGTTGAGGAATCACAGAGGGGCTTGCTCCACCAAACGAATCGAGCATGTTGTTGTACTCCTTCATGGTTCCGTTGGGATTCGTGTGTAGGTCAAGCTGACCAACCTGGATCTCTCCTCCTTCAGCCATGTCAGCCATCCCGGGGAGATTCAGAGCGTAATTGTACTCGTTGAATTCTTCCCTCGGATAGAAGATCGGCTCCTCCGTTCCCGGCCATCTCTTCATCATCATCTGGAACTTCCATGTCGATGTCTTCATCTGATGAAGGATGCCCTTCCGGAAGAAACAGCATCTGAATCTTTCCACGTGCCAGATCGGATTCCGTTGCTCTTGCAGTATCTTTGCACGTCCCCTCATGGGATTCTTTTCCGCACTTGATGCAAACATTGAGTTGGGTGCTGCGGCTGCCTGCGGCAGACCCTACATCATAGCTGCTAATTCAGCAATTCGTTGATTGTTCTGATCACGCATTCTTTGATTTGCGTCATTGAGTGCCTGAATATACTCAGGACTGTTCTGTGTGAATCCGGGCGCTGTATTTTCCCAAGATGGTCGCAGTCTTCTGATAAAGGTCGCGAATTCAGTGTTACCTTGGCGATGATTGAAGAAACTGAGGAATCTGCAAAGGAATGCATTCCGCGTGCCCTTCAAGAAGTATCCGCGAAGGAAGTTGAGAAAAATACTCAACTCCATTGTCTGGATCCATGAGTTTCGCATTATCCAAAAGTTCGCGGTATATCGCTGCGTCCTCAACGAGCCGGTTCTTGAGAAGCGCGCCTTGTCTTGATGGTTCTATCCGTGGATGTAATCCAATCCTGTACCAGGTCTTCATACCGAAGCCAACTAAGACGGCCGTCATACGATGGAGGTAATTTTTGCATCCATCGAAAGATTGATGGTCTCTTCATGGGAACTCACGCGGCTATGACGGCTTCCTAAGAAAGCCGCTGCGGGTGGTTCTGCTCCATAAAAAATCCTCTTCTGCGCTCGTAAATAGGGGGGTCTTAAGGATCCCCGGAATACACCTCGTAGGTCCCAGAATTGGATCTACTCCGGCGCAGCAGGCAAAAATATTCAAGAGGCAAATGACCACATAGAATGAAAGCAGTCTTTAGCTAGAGACTGTAAAAACTACCACGCCTTAGCCAGGAATGAGATTTCCGCATGAGTGGATGCTGTGAACCAAGCACAAGAACAAACGAGAAACACCCCCCGCAGTCCTTCAACATACCCGTGGACAAGAGTGTTTTTGATGAGCAGAGTTATGTTGGCCTAGCAAGTGGCGGCCAGCTGGTGCTCGTGCGCGCAGGATTTGCCATGGTGGGCCGACTTTGGAAACACCAAACAAATGAGGAAGAAGCCGCGCCGCGATGCGGACGCATGCTACATTCACGTCAAAGTCTATTTCCAATCTTGCCACACGCTTCCAATGGCAACAAAAACCACATCTACGTGTTCACAACACCTGTAGCGCGAGCAATGGCGAAGCGTAAAGGAAAGGCTCCGCGCGGCCCAGCCCAGATGGAAGCCGATCCCAATTCCAAGCGATCCCAGCTGAAGGTCCGGGCCTTTGGCGGTTTTTGGCTGTCATGTCTGCAGCTGTTGTTTTTACTGAGGCAAAAGTCGCGACAGCTCTGCGGCAAGCAGCCGCCGGTGATGGGGGCCAGAAGGACTTGATTTGGTTGGATGTTGTAGGGGCCCTCGTTAGCCGCGTGCGAGGAGACGGGGGAGACGCTAAGGATTCACAAGCGAGAGCTTAAGGCATGCTGTCCGTGATTTGTCCCGAGACGTGCTTGAGACGTTCAGGCAGCAATGAGCCTCATTGACTTGGAGGCGCGTGGGCAATGCAAATCTGCAGCATTGGGCATGAGTTATCGTGTAATGCGGGTTCTTGTGCGCCAGGCGGCCCGCTCTGCTGGTGACGCGATTGCGAGAAAAGCTCGCACCCCAGGAAACAAACTGGCGATTTGCCAAGCGTGAGCAGCGTGCAGCCAGCATGATGTTTTCAATGTTTGGCTGGGTTTATGACAGCCGCCAAACACCCCGCACATTCCAAAAAACCAAGCACACATTGTAGAACTCTACGCTCCTCGTTTAGCCACCAAAATACGGTCTGCAAATTTACACGAGCTTGTTTGTTTCTTGTTTTTTTGACCCGCGAACAAAAATGAAAACAATTGGCCCGGAGGCGCGAGGGATCGTTCATGTGTCAGCAGAGGCTGCTTCAACATTCAGCACCTGCAGCCCGCAGCGCATTTTGTTGCTGCGGAATTCAGACACACACACAAGCACCACCCACCGCATAAACACATTCACAAACACAAACACAAATACAAGCACAAACACAAACACAAACACAAACACGCGCACACAATCCTGGGGTTATTCTCAGATCCCCCGGTAAAGTTTAGTGGGTCAAATGGAAATCCCCACTAAAAACTAAAACACTAAAAAGCTAAGGGGGTGGCTGGGAGCCACCAAGACACACGTGCTCTTCCTTGAACTCAACTAAACACACTCATAAAAATTGGGAAATACCTGAAACCTGCTTTCAACAGGGTCTGTCAGGATCACCCTACTGGACATCTAGCTGGGCTCTCCACAAACACATTCACACAAACACATTCACACAAACACATTAACGCAAACACATTCACACATATAGATCACTTTAGTAAAGAGCGGGTTGGTTGCAGCAAAAGTTTGCAGAAAACCTCGCAAAGCGACAGGGCCCCCACCAAAAACGATAACATGGCTCGTTTGCCACATCAAGACAGCAGCAGGCAGCAGGAAAGTGGAAGAAAATGTACTTCGCGTACTAGAATCGTACTACAATTTGCGTTTTTTCGAGCTGGTTTGCTTCCGGTACTAGACATGTACTACAAAGTTGTGATTGTTGAGCTCGAGGTGGGGAAACGTACTTCGCGCACTAGACTTGTACTACAAAGTCGCGATTTTTCGAGCTGGAGCTGCGGAAGTCCATTTTGCGTACTAGACTTGTACTACAAAGCCTTGCTGGCGGGGCGATGCGTGCCCGTGGCTTGAAAAGCAATGTGGGCTGCTTCCTGGGATTCTTGATTGGACAAGGGCGGGCCCGGGTTGCCAGACACAACGTGCGCATAAACACGAGGTAAATGCCTGCACAATCGCAAACTTTTAGGCGTTTGGGGTGCAAAGTGAACACTGCAGGTTTGCGTAGGCCGAGCACAACATGTTCTGCGCTCACCTTGACTGCGCAGTGCTTGACGATGGAGGATGCCAGACTTGCAGGGTATTCCGCGGTCAGGGTGCTGATGTATTGTCCCGAGTTATTCCGAACTCCTGCAATGCTAGGATGTTTGATGCTATGCGTGCATCTGGCGGCGACGTGCTTTACGCATGCGTCATTGAGCGCGAAACACCAGGATTTGGCGAGTATTTGCTCGTGCTGGCAGGCGTCTACCCATGCGAGGTGCCCGTGAAAATTGTGCAAGCAACGGAAATTTTCAGGTTCCAGCCAAGCCATGCTAGAGGGTGGCTGCTCTATTGTAATACAAAGTCGCGATTTTCGAGCTGAAGCTGCGGAAGTGTGCTTCGCGTACTAGACTTGTACTACAAAGTCGCGATTTTCGAGCTGGAGCTGCGGAAGCGTACTTTGCGTACTAGACTAAGTCGCGATTTGCGAGCTGCGGCTGCGGAAGTGTACTTCGCGTACTAGGCTTGTGCTCCAAAGGTGCCGCCATTGTCTCGCAGAACGATCAACTTGGCGGCGTTGTGCAAGACATGCGCCGAAACGCTGTAAAACCAGAGGGCCCCCACCAAAAATGATAACTACATAAAAACCCCCTTGACGAAGACAAGTGATTTTGACCGTACCTCATGAGGGTATAGAGATTAAGTTTGCTGGTCTAAACGAAGTTTGAAGTAACACCCAAAAACTTGCCCGTCATGTTGGCAGCGCAAGTAGCGCCTAAAACTTCGCTCGTGGTGTTAGCTCGCGCAGGTGAGCTCGGGTAGCTAGCTTGTAGGTTAACTGCGCAATGGGCTTGTCGAGTGAGCTTGTCTATCACATGGTACCGAGGTCGCCTAGTCAGATTGTCTGATGAGTTTTTCTATCAGTCAGATCGTAAGGGATTGTCTGACGAGACTGCGCTTGTCTAGTGACCGTGTCAATTCAGCTTGTTTATTCGCTCCCAGAGACATAGCGGACTCTCCTGGGCCAAAATCAAAACCTGAGAATTGGGGGGATACTAAGGGGCAATCCCAAGCACACGTTCAAGGGGCCGCCTCTGCAATCTCCCACATCACATGGCTTTGGTTTTGGCACGGAAAACATCTTGAACCATACCGAACCGAGAACACGCGAGAACCGTGGCCCTATGTAAACAATCTACGCTCGAGGGATTACCCCCAGCACGGGTCTCACTACCGCCCTGGTTCCTCACATGCAAAGGCCTGTGCTAGCATTTGGTTGTTTTACCAAGGAAGAATGCCGTGTGCAACTGCGCGGGCGCCGACAAATTTGCAAGGTCGCCAGGGCGTTGCAAGGCGTTGGTGCTGGTAAGGAGCAAGCAACGCGCCCCCCAGCTCGGGACAATTGCCACGGCCAGGGAACGCGCCGCTCGAAGTGAAGCTTCAAGAGGCTGCGTGTCTGTCGTGGCTGACCGCGACAGATCTCCTGCAGAGCGTCGTCATGCCAGTTTCATCAGTTGGAAGCATTCCCATCAGGGTGAGTCATGCTACTTTGGCCAGTCCAGCGTGACGCATGACCATGAGCATTTGGAGGCAAAGCTTCAGGAGGAGGCGCACGCGAAGGCGGCCTTGCGTGGAGCAAATGAAACTCCAAGTTGGCAAATTGAATGGGAAAGCGGCATGGGGAAGTGTTTTGGGTTTGTGTGTGTTGTGCCCTTGGCAGGCGCAACAAAGCTTACTGCGGGAATTGCAGGCCCGAACCTTGCCGGTTGTCGTTGAGCATTTTTTGGTTCGCTAGGCTGCTCAAAACGCTTCAGCTGTGGGTGATGCTTGACACAGAATTGCCAGATTGAACTTTGCCCCGCCAGCCATACAATTGGTGTTGTCGAAGTGCAGCAGCCCATGCGCAAAGACAATTCCCCAAGGGCCCACATCCATCCAAAAGGCTCTTCCGCCAATCAGGAGCAGATAGAAAAGTTGAAGGCAGAGAAAGCTGCTAGCGACGAGCAGGCTGGCTTTTTGGCACGTCCTTCATCATGTTCAAGGTAGCAGCAACATGCAGCTGCTTCTAGGTTTGCCCTGTGTGTGAGGCTCAAAAGCTTCACGCAAACTACCAGGAAGTGGCGCATCTGCAGGCTGCGTGTTTGTCGTGGCTGACCGCGACAGATCTCCTGCAGAGCGTCGTCATGCCAGTTTCATCAGTTGGAAGCATTCCTATCAGGGTGAGTCATGCTACTTTGGCACAGTCCAGCGTGACTCATGACCATGAGCATTTGGAGGCAAAGCTTCAGGAGGAGGCGCACGCGAAGGCGGCCTTGCGTGGAGCAAATGAAACTCCAAGTTGGCAAATTGAATGGGAAAGCAAGGTGGGGGCAAAGACGGCATGGGGAAGTGTTTTGGGTTTGTGTGTGTTGTGTCCTTGGCAGGCGCAACAAAGCTTACTGCGGGAATTGCAGGCCCGAGCCTTGCCGGTTGTCGTTGAGCATTTTTTTGGTTCGCTAGGCTGCTCAAACGCTTTAGCTGTGGGTAATGCTTGACACAGAATTGCCAGATTGAACTTTGCCCCGCCAACCATACAATTGGTGTTGTCGAAGTGCAGCAGCCCATGCGCAAAGACAATTCCCCAAGGGCCCACATCCATCCAAAAGGCTCTTCCGCCAATCAGGAGCAGATAGAAAAGTTGAAGGCAGAGAAAGCTGCTAGCGACGAGCAGGCTGGCTTTTTGGCACGTCCTTCATCATGTTCAAGGTAGCAGCAACATGCAGCTGCTTCTAGTTTTGCCCTGTGTGTGAGGCTCAAAAGCTTCACGCAAACTACCAGGAAGTGGCGCATCTGCAGGCTGCGTGTCTGTCGTGGCTGACCGCGACAATTTCCTGCAGAGCGTCGTCATGCCAGTTTCATCAGTTGGAAGCATTCCTATCAGGGTGAGTCATGCTACTTTGGCACAGTCCAGCGTGACTCATGACCATGAGCATTTGGAGGCAAAGCTTCAGGAGGAGGCGCACGCGAAGGCGGCCTTGCGTGGAGCAAATGAAACTCCAAGTTGGCAAATTGAATGGGAAAGCAAGGTGGGGGCAAAGACGGCATGGGGAAGTGTTTTGGGTTTGTGTGTGTTGTGTCCTTGGCAGGCGCAACAAAGCTTACTGCGGGAATTGCAGGCCCGAGCCTTGCCGGTTGTCGTTGAGCATTGGTTGGTTCGCTAGGCTGCTCAAAACGCTTCAGCTGTGGGTGATGTGCAGCAGCCCATGCACAAAGACAATTCCCCAAGGGCCCACATCCATCCAAAAGGCTCTTCCGCCAATCAGGAGCAGATAGAAAAGTTGAAGGCAGAGAAAGCTGCTAGCGACGAGCAGGCTGGCTTTTTGGCACGTCCTTCATCATGTTCAAGGTAGCAGCAACATGCAGCTGCTTCTAGTTTTGCCCTGTGTGTGAGGCTCAAAAGCTTCATGCAAACTACCAGGAAGTGGTTGAACAGCAAGTGATGTTGAATGAGCGCCTGGAGCGTCAACTATTGCAGTTGAAGCAAGGGCAGCTGAAGCAAAGTAATTGCGTCATTTGCCGCAGTGCCGAGCCCGATCAGTGTTTTTTGCCTTGCCGGCACCTTGCCTGCTGTGGCACGTGTCTTAAGGAGATGCAGGCACGGTCAGGCATGAATTTTATAGCATGCCCCGTGTGCCGCGAACAAGCTAAAATGTTCATGAAAATTTTCAAGTCTTAGAGGTCCGATGCAAACAATCGCCGTAGTGGAGGCAATTTCAGAAGCGTTGCGTTTGCAACTGATTGAGGTTTGAAGGTGATCTTGACAGGTTGATTGCCTTCCTTGCGGTCAGATTTCGCCGAAATTCGTGCGGATAGTGGCATAGACCCAGCTGATAGTTTGCGCATTCTCCGCCTAGACATGCAGGGCTGCAACGCCAGTGGCGTAGAAAGAGAGGGTGAGAGAGCCGAATACGGATGCTACGACTCATACATTCACAGAGCAAATCGTAGGAGGGGCTTGCTCTCACTCGATGCTGCTGCCACATGAGCCACCAAAGACAGAGTTAGATTCAAACAGGAGCTCAACCAAACTCTTCCCACCTGTCGGAAATCAAACATCAGGGTTCACGTCGAGCTGCTTATCGCATTGAGAGTTCTTGGGCTCGTGTTTGCAATGGGGAAGAAGTGCAGCCTGCCCTGCTGAAGACGCCTTCATGCCAAGGCCCAGCAGGTTTCTGTCAGTGTTTCTGTCATTTGTTCTTCCGGGCGGGAGATGTGATTCGAATCTTTTGGACCCTGGCCTTCGAAGCTTTGGAAGCTGTCATGCATTGTTGCCAACAAATGCCCTTACAAATATGCAAGGCAATGAGGCCGCGTCGCAGGATGCTTTCTGCATCACTGATGCTCAGGTCTTTGTGGCTCCATCAGCGGATGTTCTGGCCAGGACAGGAGTTTTGTCTCAAGTCTCACCCTGATCCTCCAAATTGCTTAATGATTCAAGTTGCCTCGCCTGCAAGCAACCCGTGTTATCCTGCGTGCCGTGTTCTGCGCTTTTCAGGAAGATCCAACGGACCTTCGTCTTGAGGAATGTTACAGCGGGACTGGCTGAGTGATCTTCAAAGGCCAGGTTCAGTCTAGTGGACTGTAGATTTCTTGAGGAATGATTCAGCGAATGCTTCATGGATCGTGGGCTTCATCAATCTGGGGAGGCGATTCTGGAGCTGGAGCTTTGCAGGTTTGCAGGGCTCTGACCAAATCATGCCGCAGTTCGTGCACCTGTCGCAGGACGGTTGGAATCGCAACAAAGTCGGACCCATCAAGTACTACACAAACATCGAGACGGAGAAAGCTGCGAGCCAAGATCAGTGGCACACGATTGCCGCATGTTGCCTTGCATTCGAGTGGCAAATGCTGCGATGCATCTCGCGTAGTTTGGATTAAACTATTAAACTACCAACTAGATCAGGTTTCCTAGGGTTTTAAGGTTTCGCTCGGGTTTTTCCTATGTTTTTTTCTTCTTTTTTTTTTTTTGGGGGGGGGGGGTAGGGTTTTTATTAATGGTTCTAATAGAGTTTTACTGCTGCAAGTGACTGCAAGGGCGAAAAAGAAGAACACTTATACCTGTGATGCTGATGCTTTGGCCAGAGAGGACATACTTCGTTTTTAAACAGAGTCTACACATTGTTGGATGATCTTCGCAGAGTTATGAGTTACTATCTGCATTTTCACGATTGTTTTCCCTGGTCCAAAATCCTTTTTCTACACCTAAGAAGGTGGTGGCTGTTTGAGGGGGGTTTTCTGTATATAGCTTCTTAGCAAATCTTAGGAGTTTTTGAACTCCTTAAGCACAAAAACATCACATGTTTGTTTTGTCTTTAAACAATCAAAACTATTTGCTTATTACGCATCAAAGAACATGACAAAGCCCAAAAAACTGCTTACCTGTATATAATTCCTTGCTCTCCAAAGCCGTCGCTAGGCCGCCTTGGAGCCTCAGGGTTCTCATCGAGGCCTCACGTGTCGTTGGAGACCACGTAGTCGGCCCTTCGGGAGCTTGTACCCTGGTGGTGTTTTGGGATTTTTAAAGTTTTATCTGGGGTTTGTTCTAGTGTTTTTAAAGTTTTTTCTAGGGTGTTTAAGTTGTTTTTAAGTTTGTTCTAGGGTTTTCTAGCGGTTTTTAATCTTTCCCTATAGGGTTTTCTGAAGTTTTCTAGAGTTTTCCTAGAGTCATCTAGGGCTTTTCTAGGGTTTTGTCTAGGGTTTCTCTAGGGTGGTTCCTATGATTTTGGGGAAGTCTTGCGGGTGGTGTTTTGGGGTTTTGTTTGGGAGGTTTGGGGTTTGGTATGGTGAGGTATTTGTTATAGTGTTTTTTTTCTAGATCTTTCTTGTTTTTGGTATGCTGTAGGGGTTTGGGGTTAGGTTTGTTTGGGGAGTGTTGGATACCTGTTTCTTTTTCTTAATGGGGGTTTGGGCTTTGGTATGGTTTGCTTGGAGCTTTGGGTACCTTAGTCTAGGTTTGTTTTGCAGGGGTTTGGTGTTTTCGTTTTTTAGGGTGATTATAGTGATTTGTTATCAGCACATAAATCAAACACCTCAGATGTTCGATTTTCAGGCTTCAGGAATTCTACAGTTGGCAGTTGGAGGTTGAAATCTGTTGGATATTTGTTTTGTAGTGTTATGTTTGTATTTTAAGCTTGGTTCACATTCTATATGTTAGATATGTTAGATTGTTTTGATGTGGCTTGAACAGTTAGGGTGAGTTGGGTCTAGGGTTTTGTTTTTGTTGGTCAAACATGTTTGTTTGTGATCTTTCTTGGATTGTTTTGGTCAAAGTTCCGTTGTTTTGGTCAAGGTTTTTTTGTTTGTTCCTTTGCTTTTGTTTTGGTTTGTTCTGTTTCCTTTTGGTTTGTTTGGGACCTAGTGGCAGCTTTCTTTCTTCCTAGGAAGGAACGCCTCAAAGATCATGAGGAAGCATCTCGGGCTGGTGGCAGTGGTACCCCCGGGTGGGTCGCAAACGGAAGTTCTTTCAATTCCGTGGTTAGCCCATGCCTGTTTTTGTTGGAGATGTGCTTTTTTCCCCAAACAGCGAAGCATTGGGGTTCTAACTTGAGGTATAGAGAATGGGAAAGTGTGACGCCGATTCCGGGGTCCTGTTTTCTGCTTGCCTTCCTGTCTCCCAGTCTCTGCGCTCAAATGCCAGATGCTGTGACGCCGGCTCCAGGGTCGTGTCTCCCGCTTGTCCCTGTGTCTCCCAGTCTCTGCGGTCAGATGCCAGATGCTGTGACGACGGCTTGTCTCCCTGTGTCTGCCAGTCTCTGCGGTCGGATGCCAGATGCTGTGACGCCGGCTCCGGGGTGGTGTCTCCCGCTTGTCTCCCTGTCTCCCAGTCTCTGCGGTCAGATGCCAGATGCTGTGACGCGTCTCCCGCTTGTCTCCCTGTGTCTCCCAAGGTCTCTGCGGTCAGATGCCAGATGCTGTGACGCTGGCTGGGGTCGTGTCTCCCGCTTCTTTTCCGGTGTCTCCCAGTCTCTGCGGTCAGATGCTAGATGTCGTCTCCCGCTTGTCTCCCTGTGTCTCCCAGTCTCCGCGGTCAGACGCCAGATGCTGTGACGCTGGCTCCGGGTCGTGCCTCCTGTCTCCCAGTCTCTGCGGTTGGCTGTTTGTTTAATGCTTACAGCCCCCAACAGGGTCCCGGGCTAAACCAACTGAAGCTGCTTCTTCTTTGCGAGTTTTGGGGCTGACCTTGCTTGCTGCCAGCTGGCTGTTTTCCTGCTTACAGCCCTCAACAGGAAAAATGAAGCTTACCCAGTTTTGAGGCTGACCTGGCTTGCTTGGCATCCAGTAACCGGCGTTCGGCTCCCTTCGGCCCCCTTTGGCTGCACGTGGCAGCAGCGCGCAAGCGCAAATCAGAAGCATCAAAAGCAGTCCAGCCAGAAACATAGATTCGAAGTCAGAAGGAACGACTTGCAAAAATGTTTAGCAGATTTTGCTGTTGGCCTGTGTGCAAAGGCTGTGCCTCTCTCTTGGTCAAGCGCAGGTTTGCAGCCTTGTGGAGCATTATTGGAGCTAGAAGCAAGCAATGTCGAGCCTTAAATATGTCTATTTTTCGCGATAAACCAACAAATCGTGACATCCGGCTGATTGCTTTGCTCAGGAAACTGAGCTGCTTTTTAGAAGCCAGTGCCGCACTTCTTGGCCAAGTGCAGGTTTGCATCCTTGTGGCGCACCAGCACGTGGTGCCAAGGTCGCGGCTTTGACATATCTCGTCGCCTCCTGACACCCTTCGGTTGAAGACAGATTTCCCAGCCTTGTTTTCCACATATTTTCTGCTGTTTCGCACGTGTCCGAAAGTGCTCAGGGCTTGCAAGTGCAAGGGCCCAAGGGTTTTCATGGTGGGACGTCGTAAGGTGCCATTATCATTCTCTGAAGCGCTAGCTTCCCTACAGTCTCTGGACCCATGGAACACCAAAGAGGTTCAACGTGAGCTGCATTGCATGGCGCGTGTGCTAGCCTCCCGCAGTGAGTATTCTCGAAAATCCGAGCAATTCCATTTAATTCTCTCAGCATACGTGGCTTCGGGAAACCAAGCTGGAGGGATGTGCTGATAGCATCAAGACCATCGCTCACCGAAACAACACGTGCTGAAGACATGGCCCATCCATTTCTTCTTTGACGACGCCTTGAAAATCGATTCCGATCTGTTCTCGCAAAAGGTTTCGGCGCTGCTGGACACTCTGCGTGCGTGGCGAAGTCCCCAGCAACATTACGGAATGGCGGCTCTGGTGCTCAATGTGGTAATTGCAACACGCGGTCATGGCCATGTTTCGACACATGTTCGGTGGCTGTATAATCTAATAAGAGTTGCTAACGCCGCAGTCTGCAAGTTTATGCAAGTTCTCTCTTGCTTTGCTTGCGGCAAGACCTTTAGCCAAGCTCAAGAAGAAGATAGCAACCCGAAGTGGATGTGCCCAGTCTCGGCCACAAGCTGCTGAGACTGATGCGCAAGTTTCAGCAGAGTAGCGAGACGGCGACCAAATGCGGAAAAGTGCATTGAGTGTCCGTACTACGGAAGTTCCTTCGAAACTTCCTCTCATTCATGCCAGGTGTTAGGTTGACTCACCCCGAATCCCTGGGGCCTTCACTCTCGAACATGGCATTGACATGGCATTTTCCTCCTCGAAGTCGATGCTTTTACCCGGCGTCAAGGAGATGGATGGACCCAATGTGTCCTCTTCCCAAAAAAGGGGACTTCCTACAGGGACATACATGGACTGATTGTAACTATGTGTTGCTCACATAAGCTTCTCAATTTCGCACCTTACATGAAGGAGGTTACGCAGACCTGTCATGTTTTTTTGCTGTTTGGGGTCGAGGCTGGTGTAATTTGTTTTGCTTTCTTCTTGAAAACCAAGTGCAAGCTAATATCATCAGCCTGCTTTGAAGAGCGGAAGTCTTGGGGTGTATGACCGGCCAGCCGGAGCGGCATCCTTCAAGGGTAAATCCCATTTTGAGACACAGCCCCCACAGAAAACCCTAAGAACCATAGAAAAACCTAAGAACACCGGGGAACCTAATAAAACAACATATATGAAGTAAGACAAAAGATAGAGCAAGCTCCCAAAACTTGAGGAGGTAGGTAATTTGGGGTGTGCGGATTTTTTTCAAGGTCTATACCATGCCTTCTTCAGTATGTTTAGAGATCCATCTTGATCTCTACCTGGCAAACCCAAAACCACTTTGTTTTTGTTTTGCTACCTAACAACAAATTTAAAAAAAACAATGTTATTTGGGGGGATGAACTGATGGGCCTTTGCAAGTTGGTTCCTCATCACTTGGTGCTACCGTTGGCTCACAATCCTCTGCTTCTCGCTGCTTTTGTGGAAAGACTTTCTTCTCGGCTAGAGCTTTGGCTGTACACTGCTACCGTGTACACCAGCACCATGCCCCAGAATACTACTTGGCCTCCGGGGCCACATGTAGAGCATGCCTCCGCCATTTCTGGTCCACAACCCGCTTGAGACAACACCTTGCATATGCTCCTCGTAGCAGCCAGGCCAATGAATGTTTTCAGAAGTTTTTTGATCATGCTTTGACTTCGACGCCTCTTGTTGTCCAGAAGGTAGATAAACAGATGATAGGCCTCAACCGATTGGATGCGATTCAGTTGCAGGGTCCCTTAGGACTTGGCCGCACCTCCCTCGCCAAGCAACATGATGATTTGAAGGTTGTTTTGTCACAAGCCCGATCAGATTTGATTGCTGAAGGAGTTGTATTGCCGCCTGATGAGGCTTTGATGGCGGAAGTGCACCCAGCTCTATCCGAGGCTACTCATAGTTGGCTCGAGGACCCCACACCCTCAGCTTTAGACCTTGGTTTACTCCAAGGTGCATGGCTTGAAGTCCTTGCAGCCACGCCACCAGTGGAGGCTGAAGCAGCCTATGCCTTCATCCGTTGGGGTACTCGAGGCTTTGAGGATGTTCTTGATGCCATTGAAGACCTTGCAGCTCGAGAAGCAATAGATGAGGCATACTCGATATTGCGCACTGATCTCCCTCTGCTGCCATTGGTCAAGAAGATGGACCGGCTTCAGCATGAACTGATGATGCTGCCTTTGTTGCACCCACAGCAATCAAGACCTCACCGTCCGGTTTACAAAGGACCTGCTAATGTCAGTGAACGTTTGCAAGTTACTCGAGAAGTGCCGCAAGCATACGAAAACCAAGCCGCCCAACGACAACAGTGGTTGGACTCAGGACTTCGCGTGTCAATGGCTCAGGTGAACACTATATATTCCTTTTCTGATGGTGGATGGACAGCCAACTTTTGTGATCATACACTTGTTTGCTGGCAGAAGAAGAAGCCGAGACTTCCATGAAGCTTTGGTGAATCTCAGTGCCGCGGCGCCTTATACAATGATTGTGCTCAGCTTTGACACTGCGATTGATCCGATTGAAGGTGACCTGAGAGCTGGCAGTGCCACTTGGAAACATATCGAACACTGGTTTGTTTCATGCTTGTTTGCTGGTGGCCTTTCAGGTAACCCATGTGACACTTTCAGTCAGGCAAGGTACAATTAAGTTGTGGATGATCAAGGGAGGACTTTGCGAGGCCCGAGACCCCTTAGATCAGCAGAACGCCTGTGGGGCTTGAGAGGACTAGGCACCCGTGACTTGCGTCAAGTCTCTCAGGGCACTTCCTTTGCCTTGCAAACCCTATGGGTCGCTGCATGCATGCTCCGCTTGGGTGGTGTTTTCATTGCAGAACACCCAGCGCCACCAGAGGACCAGACACGTCCTATTGAATGGACTGCACCTATTACGTTGAAGTTGAGGAGTGTGCGGAATGCCAGACTTCATCTCATTCAACAATGGAAGTTTGGTATCCTTGGCGACTTTCACACGCCTTCGCTCAGGCCATCTACGACCGGATAGATGCTGCATGGCGTAGTCGACAGACACTTTTGCGGAGCACGAGTGAGGCTGAGGTAGCTTGGTTGAAGAAGATTGCGGTCCTCTGTGCCCACATTGAAAGGACCATGGGAGCAGATTTTCAGGACCTTCCACAGCTGTAGCCGTCCCTGCATCACAATTCAAGCAGCAAGGCACTGCCTTATAGCCAAAAATGAGGAAAAAATGAGGATGAACTGATCTAACCATGATCTAGCCAGTGTTTTTCCATGAAGTTTGCCACCGGTAAAAAGCTTTTTATCCCAAAACCAACCCCCTTTAAGCTAGCTAGAAAAGCCTAGGAAAACCTAAAAAAACCTAGAAAACATAGGAAAATGATAAAAATACTATAAACATCTAGAAACCCACTAGGAAGCATGTGTTTTCGATGAAAACAACAATAGGAAAACCGTCGTTTACTGGAAGTCTTTTCATCCCCACCCGGTTTAAGGAAAGTGGCGCCTGGGCCTTAGAATGGTTCGACGACTTCGAGGGTGACCACTTGGACACGTCACTTGGAAGACTTCAGGGAGCAAAGGGCGGCGTCTGCCTGCGTGGGATGTGGCGCTTTGTGGTTTCAGATGGGCTTAATCTGGTTTCATATGTTGTTGTTTTTTTTTTTTTTTTTAATGTGGTTTTCATATGGATTTTCAATGGTTCCATATGGTTTCATGCTTCTAAAGAAAGTCCCTCTTGGGCGGCTTGAAGATTGAAGATCGGGCTAGTTTTGGTGATTTCAATTGTGGTGAACAAAACGTATTTTTGTATTTTGTTGCACGGCATAGATGCAACATGTGTTTTTTTGAAGCCTTCTTTGTCTTCCAAAAAACCGCTGTGTTGATCCTCTGGCCCGATGGCATCCCGAAGATGGAGCGATGGTTTCTCTGGTTCATCTCAGCATCCTGAGGTCCTCCTGGGAAGTCGTCACCAGCGCGTCTTTTGGCACAATGATTTATGATCAGTTCAATGTCTTAGAAACTGATGAAATTGCTTGGCGTTTTCTATTCGACGGCCCTCATTGTCTTTTGGCACAATGATTTATGATCAGTTCCATGTCTTAGAAACTGATGAAATTGCTTGGCGTTTTGTATTCGACGGCCTTCATTGTCTTTTGGCACAATGATTTATGATCAGTTCAATGTCTTAGAAACTGATGAAATTGCTTGGCGTTTTCTATTCGTCGGCCCTCATTGTCTTTTGGCACAATGATTTATGATCAGTTCAATGTCTTAGAAACTGATGAAATTGCTTGGCGTTTTCTATTCGACGGCCTTCATTGTCTTTTGGCACAATGATTTATGATCAGTTCAATGTCTTAGAAACTGATGAAATTGCTTGGCGTTTTCTGTTCGACGGCCCTCATTGTCTTTTGGCACAATGATTTATGATCAGTTCAATGTCTTAGAAACTGATGAAATTGCTTGGCGTTTTCTATTCGATTGTCGGCATTTATTGTCTTAGAAACTGATGAAATTGCTTGAATTGTCTTTTGGCACAATGATTTATGATCAGTTCATGTCTTAGAAACTGATGAAATTGCTTGGCGTTTTGTATTCGACGGCCTTCATTGTCTTTTGGCACAATGATCTATGATCAGTTCAATGTGATAGAAACTGATGAAATTGCTTGGCGTTTTCTATTCGTCGGCCCTCATTGTCTTTTGGCACAATGATTTATGATCAGTTCAATGTCTCAGAAACTGATGAAATTGCTTGGCGTTTTCTATTCGTCGGCCCTCATTGTCTTTTGGCACAATGATTTATGATCAGTTCAATGTCTTAGAAACTGATGAAATTGCCTGGCGTTTTCTATTCGACGGCCTTCACTGTCTTTTGGCACAATGATTTATGATCAGTTCAATGTCTTAGAAACTGATGAAATTGCTTGGCGTTTTCTATTCGACGGCCCTCATTGTCTTTTGGCACAATGATTTATGATCAGTTCAATGTCTTAGAAACTGATGAAATTGCTTGGCGTTTTCTGTTCGACGGCCCTCATTGTCTTTTGGCACAATGATTTATGATCAGTTCAATGTCTTAGAAACTGATGAAATTGCTTGGCGTTTTCTATTCGACGGCCTTCATTGTCTTTTGGCACAATGATTTATGATCAGTTCAATGTCTTAGAAACTGATGAAATTGCTTGGCGTTTTCTATTCGACGGCCCTCATTGTCTTTTGGCACAATGATTTATGATCAGTTCCATGTCTTAGAAACTGATGAAATTGCTTGGCGTTTTGTATTCGACGGCCTTCATTGTCTTTTGGCACAATGATCTATGATCAGTTCAATGTGATAGAAACTGATGAAATTGCTTGGCGTTTTCTATTCGTCGGCCCTCATTGTCTTTTGGCACAATGATTTATGATCAGTTCAATGTCTTAGAAACTGATGAAATTGCTTGGCGTTTTCTATTCGTCGGCCCTCATTGTCTTTTGGCACAATGATTTATGATCAGTTCAATGTCTTAGAAACTGATGAAATTGCTTGGCGTTTTCTGTTCGACGGCCTTCATTGTCTTTTGGCACAATGATTTATGATCAGTTCAATGTCTTAGAAACTGATGAAATTGCTTGGCATTGTCTTTTGGCACAATGATTTATGATCAGTTCAATGTCTTAGAAACTGATGAAATTGCTTGGCGTTTTCTATTCGAGGCACAATGATTTATGATCAGTTCAATGTCTCAGAAACTTTGGGCGTTTTCTATTCAACAATGATTTATGATCAGTTCAATGTCTTAGAAACTGATGAAATTGCTTGGCGTTTTCTATTCGACGGCCTTCATTGTCTTTTGGCACAATGATTTATGATCAGTTCAATGTCTTAGAAACTGATGAAATTGCCTGGCGTTTTCTATTCGTCGGCCCTCATTGTCTTTTGGCACAATGATTTATGATCAGTTCAATGAAATAGAAACTGATGAAATTGCTTGGCGTTTTCTATTCGACGGCCTTCATTGTCTTTTGGCACAATGATTTATGAGCAGTTCAATGTCTTAGAAACTGATGAAATTGCTTGGCGTTTTCTATTCGTCGGCCCTCATTGTCTTTTGGCACAATGATTTATGATCAGTTCAATGTCTTAGAAACTGATGAAATTGCCTGGCGTTTTCTATTCGTCGGCCCTCATTGTCTTTTGGCACAATGATTTATGATCAGTTCAATGAAATAGAAACTGATGAAATTGCTTGGCGTTTTCTATTCGACGGCCTTCATTGTCTTTTGGCACAATGATTTATGAGCAGTTCAATGTCTTAGAAACTGCTGAAATTGCTTGGCGTTTTCTATTCGACGGCCTTCATTGTCTTTTGGCACAATGATTTATGATCAGTTCAATGTCTTAGAAACTGATGAAATTGCTTGGCGTTTTCTATTCGACGGCCTTCATTGTCTTTTGGCACAATGATTTATGATCAGTTCAATGTCTTAGAAACTGATGAAATTGCTTGGCGTTTTCTATTCGACGGCCCTCATTGTCTTTTGGCACAATGATTTATGATCAGTTCAATGTCTTAGAAACTGATGAAATTGCTTGGCGTTTTCTATTCGACGGCCTTCATTGTCTTTGGGCACAATGATTTATGATCAGTTCAATGTCTTAGAAACTGATGAAATTGCTTGGCGTTTTCTATTCGACGGCCTTCATTGTCTTTTGGCACAATGATTTATGATCAGTTCAATGTCTTAGAAACTGATGAAATTGCTTGGCGTTTTCTATTCGTCGGCCCTCATTGTCTTTTGGCACAATGATTTATGATCAGTTCAATGTCTTAGAAACTGATGAAATTGCTTGGCATAACTTCTCGGATGATGAGCTCGCCAATGTATTCTAGTGGAGCTTCAGGAGTTTGAAGTCTAACAGATCTAAAAGGTTTCGGTGAATGCGTGCAAGATAGAAGATGCTTGATGCTTGATTGTTGATAATTTTCAATGTAATTATCATGGTTGTTTTCTGTCGATTTGAAGTCTCCAAGGTCGAACTTCTTCATCCCATTGCCTCGCGCTTGAGTTTCGGTCAGTGCGCCCGCTGCCCCCAGAGCTTCGACAGCATCTTCTCCGCGTCGGTGACCTTGTTCCAGCAGATCGTGGCGGGCGATAACTGGGGCCAGGTCTCAATTCCGGTCTTGGAGGAACAACCTTGGACTGCCCTAGTGATGGTGAGCATTCCATCTCCCTGGGGATGTTGAATCTCATTTTAGCAGCTGCCCAGCTGAAAATTGGGAGTCTTTTGAAAAGTTGGTTTTGGTTGTTTTAAAACGGCCAGTCTTGACCAAAACTCTCCTTTTGAAACGAAACATTTGGGTTGAGCAGCGCCTTTCAAGAGTCTGAGCCTATAGCTTTCAGCTTCAGCTGGCCGAGGTCATCGTGGAAAGAGCCGCCGAAGCCAGGGAGAATGACCACGAGGCGAAGATCAAGAAAAAACAGGCTGAACGAGCCAGAAGCATGGAAGACTTGGCCAGTCTATGTGCCAGCATGGATGTGAATAACAATGGCTTGATCTCCTTAGAGGAGATGTTGAAAGGTTATGATGAGGTGGAGGAATGCAAAAAACTCATGGAGGTTATGGATTTGAAGAGGGACGACATGGCCATGGGTTTCAATGTCTTAGATTCAGAGAGCACACAAGAGGTCCCTTATTTGGAGTTTTGTCAGCATCTTGGGAGCTTCTTCAAGAGGGACCCCGTGATCATGCATTCCCTGGTGAAATACTCCGTGATGGAGTTGCGCAAGGTTGTGGAGCAAGATGTGGTGAGGCTTCTTCAGGAACAGTCAGAGATGTTGAAGAGCTTGCTGGAAGGCAAGTCATGTGTCGAGATGAAGTTCTCAAATCTCTCAGATCTCTCACCCCATCCCAAGGAGTCTAGAGCTGATGAGCTGGGCCCCTTGTTAGCCAAGGCCCAGGACCTGGCGGAGACCGTCTGCGCCTCTGTGGCCTTAGACTCCGCCGAGGCCCTGCGCGTGTCGGTGGCGGATCTGCGGGAGCGCCTGGAGCCGCAGATGCTGCAGGTCTCGGTGGTCTCGGTGGACCTGCCGCAGGCGGCGCAGGCGGCGCAGACACCCCAGGCGGGTTGGTTTGAGGCCATGTCAACGAGCAAGCGGAGCAAAAAGCGCTCAAGTCAGAATGAAACGCCGCTGAGGGCAGATGGCTGGATAGGCTTACCCAGGTGTGGGTGTGAAACTGGGGAAGAGGCTTCTACAGTGGCTGTTCAAGTCACAGATGAATAGCTGGAGGTCTACTTTGGGTTGTGAGGTGCTATGGTTTCACTTTGTTTCACTTTTTCACCTCCGGCTGACCAAGGAGCGCTGGCAAAACACTCAAAACCGCTTTCCATTGTGCATTCTTGTGATTTGTGTTGTCATTGTTTGGATTTGGCAGTCCTGATTCACCAGGATGGTCGCCACCGGCCACCAGATCCTGTTGGCTGATAGCCGTTTTGTCATATTGCTCAAGGCTTGCATCGGAAAGGTCGAAGACACAAGATGAAATTTCAGCGCAACATGCCTAATCCACCAAAATCCACCAAGCTGCAAGATGTCAGGGTGGAAGAAATGGTAGATCACCTAACAACTATGATCTCATTCTAAGAATTTGCCAGGCCACAGGTGCCACAGGTGCCTCAGGTGCCACAGGTGCCACAGGTGCCACAAAGCCATGAAGCTCTTGCCTCTTTGGCCGCTGCTTCTGCTGCTTCCGCAGCTTCCGCAGGCCTGGTGGTGTGACACCAGTGCGCGCACGGGCTGCCGCGGTGAACCACGGCAGTTTCGAAGAGACATGGGACAGCTGGATCCCTTCGACCGCTTCCAAGAATCTCTTTCCAGGATGGGTGGCTTTATTTTTTCTCCTCCCCAGCAGGAAGCCTACCCGAATCAGTTTTGGAATCTGACTGAAGAAAACCATCTAGTCTAGTAGACAAAATCTGTGCGAGTGAGGTGAGAAGGGGCCCAACTATAGACATATGCATACATAGTTGCCCCATGTGTTGAACAAAAAACCGTGTATGTTTTGGTCTAGCACCACGGTGAGCGAGGATCCGTGTCTCGTACGAAGATGAGCCGCTGCTGGTGGATTGGGACAAGGATGGAGACCTTGATGTGATCGTGAGGACCAAGCAAAAGCTCATCCTCTTTGAGTCGAGGCGCGATGGCTTTGTACAAGTGGAGCCCAATCCCTTTGAAGGCATGGAAGAAGCCTTGAGTGCATTGTGAGGCTTCAAAATGACAATTTCTTGTTGGAGGTTTGGTTTGGTCTTTTAACTTTTCTCATTCAGAAGATTCATAAGAGATGCCGGAGCTTGCTCAGTCGTGAGAGACTCGTGATGAGTTTGGTAATGTATCATAGTTCATTTTTTCCGCCTAAAGCCCTTGCTTGAGTCAGGGACAAGAAAAATCATTTGAAAGCAGCAGAGCTGGTAAGGAACCCGGGTATTGCAGACCAGCCATTGTGGATTGGAATGGAGATGGACATTGGGATGTCTTGCTCGGGACGAACTTGGGCATTCGATACTATCAGCGCCTCCCATTTGCGCAGGGCTTTGAGGAGCAGCTGGGTGCGAAGAACCCCTTTGGAGTGGTTGCTGGAGGGAATCTCTGCGGAGACCTCTCTGTGGCTGATTGGGATGGGGATGGAGACTTAGATCTCCTGGTCGTTTATGCCTTCACTAGAATGAACTATTTTCAGCAGGTCAATGGTAGCCTAGTCCTTGTGAACAGCAGCGCGACCCCCTTTCAAGATGTCATGGAGCAAACGCTGTATCGACGACCAGTCATGGCAGATTGGAATGCTGATGGTCGAATGGACTTGCTCTTAATGCCCAAGGTCTTTCCGAGAATGCAGGGCTCCTGGTTCAATGCCTATGATTGTGCCGTGCTATTGTATTTGCAGCTTGAAGAGCCTGGTCCATCGCTGCAATGGCAGTCGAACTCAGTCTTCTTGAATGAAGACTGCAAGTACTTCAAAGCTTCGGGGCTCTCTTTGGTTGATGTTGATGGTGACGGTGACTTGGATGTGGTTTTCGGAGGTTTCAATGCACCTTTAAGCGTCTTCGAGCACAAGGCGGGAGTGGGGGGGGTTGAAAGACCTTGGACATCCTTTGCGGCGTGCTACATGCTAGTATTTGTGTGGAATAGTGTGTGTTTTTGAGTTAGGAAACTTGATATGGGTGGGCTTGGATGGTCCATTGAAAGAACCCTGATGAGGTCTCCAATGGCAGCCACTTTCTGGAAGCGCGAAAGAAGGCAGCCAGTAGCTTGATAGATTTGAATCAGGTGGACTTGGGGAATCTGCAGGATCTTTTTGGTCTTGGCTTGGTGGTGGCCAACTTCTTCAAACCTACCTTGGTGGATTGGGACTTGGATGGCGATCTAGATTTAGCTCTAGTCCAGTTGGAGAAGAGCCGCTTTTTCGAACAAAGAGATGGCAAGGTCGTTGAGGTGGCCTCACCTCCCAGCAACTTTTCTTGTCCACTTGATTGGCGCCTTGACTTCAGTACGGCTGATTTTGATGGAGACGGCTTGTTGGACTTGTTGGGCTTTGATGAGAACTACGGGGCCGTCGTGTGCGTCAGGCAAGGCTCCGATTTCGTGGCTCTGGAGACGCATCCATTCCGAAGAGAGCTTGAAGCGATGGAAAACCGGGCCATGTTAGGTTTTCCTTCCTTCTTGGATTGGGATGGAGATGGAGATGTGGATGTCTTGAAGATCGAGGGTGATAGGTTGTATCTCATAGAGAACTTAGGCAACAGCAGCTTTCTCCGACAGCTGCTTCCTGTGCCCATGGCTCGCGACTTTGTTGCGGCAGACTTTGATGGGGATGGAGACGTTGATCTCATGATGGCTTTCTTCAACACCAAGGGTTGTCACTACTTTGAACGGACGGGCGACGGAAGTTTGGAGAGGTTGCATGGCTCCGATAATCCCTTCGAAGGTGTTTGTGAGGTCACTAGCACTGCAGCTGGGAACAGTCTGAGCTCGCTTGCGACCATCGGAGATTGGAACCAGGATGGTTTGTTGGACCTTGTGGTGGTCTATGAACAGATCAACCTGTGGTTGAACGAAGAACGGAAAGACTTTGTGGGTTTGGTGTCTTCCAACGATTTGACCCACTTTCCTGAAGCTGCTTTGCAGTCAAAGCCCAGAGTGAGCTTGGTAGATGCAGATGGTGATGGTGACCTGGACCTCGTGGTTCCACCTCAGAAGCCGGTCTCGGCCTTGGGCGACGCAAGATATAGATACTTTGAACATCTAGATTCGGGAGGGCTAGTTGAACGCTTGGGTGTGGTCAACCCATTTCATGGCGCCCCGCCAGGAGATGCAGACATGGCAACAAATACCCCGCAAAACCACATGATTGTTGATGTTGACGGAGATGGTGACTTGGACATAGTCCGGGGATATTTGCAGTATGCCCAGCAACAAGGCGATGGTCAATTTGTTTTTTTAGAAGGTGCAGACAACCCCTTTGCAGGGGTAGCCCTTGACCGATGGGATTGCTGGACCTTGGCCGATTTCGATGAAGATAGCGACATGGACTTGGTGGTAGTAGAGGTAGAGACAAACCTCACAATGCAACGGCTTCTTATGCAGGAATATTTGGCAGGACGAATGGAAAAGGATGACTTTCTGGCGGCAGTGGCAAGCAAAGTTCGCTTCTATGAGCAGGTCAACTCCACTTTCACCAAGCAGGTAGGCGCAGCAAACCCTTTCCGCAACATGACCCTGACGGCCGATCTAGTGGGTGCCTTGTGTCCTACCTTAGTGGATCTGGACCAGGACGGGGATCTAGACTTGATCCTAGAAGATGCTGAAGGCCACCTGCTCTTCTACCAGCAGGGCAGCAGTGGCTTTGAGATCCTTCCAGGTCATTTTTCGGAGGTCTCCATCCGGAAGCGACATAACCGCAAGGACGACCCAAGAGCATCTCATTTTGTTGATTGGGATGGAGATGGCTTGATGGATTTGGTGAACTTTGAAGGAGATGCCTTGCAATACTTTCAGCGAGGGGTTTGTTCACCAGTGGCTTCCTATTGTAAACTGGGGCTCTGCAGGCAGCAAGCCCTGAAGTCGTACAAATGCGAGTGTGTTCAAGGTGCTGAGGGAGATGATTGTAGCCTTTGCGGAGAACACCATGTGCGTGAGGGGAATGCTTGTAAGAATCTCACCTGATTTGTAAACATAGAGAAAGTGTGTTCTACCCAGACTTTGTGCCCTCAAATGACTTCTCCCGCCCAGGAAATGCCCTGGGTACAAGACGCTGGCTGGTACATGCAGCCGCCGTGGTACCTGCGATGATGATTCTGACGCGAGGGAACGGCAGAGGAATTTCAACCAGTCAGGTTTCAAGGTTTGGTCTGCTATTGGAACGGGCGAATGTACCTGCATAGAGCCTTGGGAGCAATTTTGGATGTCCAGAAAGTCGAACATCTCTGATCTACGTACCTTCTTCTTTTGAATTGCTTGCTTGTTTGCTTGCTTGCTTGTTTGTTTGCTTGCTTGCTTGTTTGCCTGCTTGCTTGCTTGTTTGCTTGCTTGCTTGCTTGTTTGCTTGCTTGCTTGCTTGCTTGCTTGTTTGCTTGCTTGCTTGCTTGCTTGCTTGCTTGCTGTGGCTGGTTGGTTTGTTTGGTTGGTAGTAAGTTGGCTGATTTACCAGATAGCCGAAAGCTCAATAGCGGGCTCCTAAGCTTGCCGCTGCCGTGTCCTAAGCTGGTCTTCCTTGATGATTTCCCTTGAATTCCCTTTTGGGCTCCTCTTGGCTACCCATGTCTCCCCGTTCTTCCAAGCTTTTCTCTATCTTTGACTTCTATGTTTGTATACTGTTGGCAGCATCTCTCATCTTGTTTCCCTGCATGCCTAGCTAGCACTCGCCAATTGTTGCAATTTGTGCGGGATAATGAATCTGGGGCCTATGCCGGTGTCATTTTGTTATTGACTAGATTTATGGTTCAAGTGAGGCACCCTTTCATGGCCGTGGGTGTCGCGAAGGCCTTTGCCCCCCAGGGCAGCGCTTGGAAAGAGATGCGGTGGTGGAGCAGATTTCGCCGAAGTACCCCAGATGGGATGCTTGTGTCCCCTGCGAAGCTGGCCGTTACAAGAACCACACAGGCAACGAGGAGCTTTTTGTTTGTGGGAGAGTTTTGCCAAAGGGAAGTGTTTTGGGGGAGCCAGACAAAACCAATCGGCAAAATATATCGAATATATATATATATATAAAGTGAATAAAGGAAGATATGATCACATTAGAGCTTCATACTTTTGGTCTAGGATGTGCTTGTATGCCGTCTTGATGTGGTTTTGGCATACTTTGGTTCGGCAGGAATGTTCCATTTGCCCTGCTGGCTTCATTTCTCCTACCACACATGCACTGACTTATTCCGCTTGTCCCCCCGGGCACGTGCCCATGCCGGACCGCCTCCGCTGCCGCCGCTGCGATGCCGGCTACGTGGCGGAGCCAGGAGACCCGGACTGTCGACCTTGCCCGGCAGGCAGCGCGCCAGATGCTGAGGGCGGCGAATGTGTGAAGTGTGGGGTGGGCAAATATGCCGAGGCAAGGTCAAGCAAATGCAGCTTTTGTGCTGTGGGCTGGGTGCCAGATACTTCAGATGACAGAGGGAGGTGCAAGAAGTGCGACGGTCAAACGTATGCCTTGCCTGGTGATGAAAGTTGCAAAACTTGTTTCTTTCCAGCAATGATCCTTGCAGACGAGAACCTCTGCTCACCGATGTATTCAGTTCTTTTCTTGCTCCTATTTATTATCTTGTTGCTGGTGGCTGTGGGGGTGTATAGTTGGCTACGACTCAGATGTCTCAAGCGAAAGATGGATGAGCAGGTGGAGGCAGAAAGATGGGAGGATCTGCATTCCCTTTCAACTTCATGTTTAGAATATGGAATCTGCAGAGGAAGGGCGGATGGTGCGATTGAAGCCAGAAAAGAGGAGGTGAAATTGGAATCTCTTCAGCTTGGAATCTGTTTGAACTATGTCTTTCAAGACTTGGATCGGGTTTATGAGGACACGGCTAGACAAGCAGAATGGCGACAGGAGGATTGTGAGCTCACTAAAAGTGGCTACTTTGCCAAGAACCGCAGCAGGAGCATCCAGGAATTGGAGAGAGGCTGGAGCGCCCTGCCACTATGTCAGGCGCCGCAAAACCCAAACTTTCATCAAGTGGCTGGCATCCTGGCCTATGGGCCGGAAGCCTAGTTGAAGGTTTTTGTGGGGGTCAAAAATAGCAGATGAGAGACATGACATGTGATGATCTTTGGGATGAACGTCATAGAGTCATAGCTTGCTGTCAGCCATTGCGCGGGCCGTTTGCTTGGATGTTGCTTTCAGCATTTGTGCTTTGTTTTGCTCGCGTCCCGTCTCGTTTTGTCCTCATGTGCTTTTGTTCATGTCCAAGTATTCTTCCGGAGATGTTCCTTAGCTAGCCTGCTCCTTTCCACCGCACCACACCTCCCCGGGCGAAGAATTCCACACGCGCTTCTCCTAAAGTCACGCTTGACGGGGTCCTCGCGGCTAGCGGCTAGCCTTCTCATGACTAGCCCTCTCATTGTACAGTAATCAAATTTCATTTGTATGTGCGGTAGCTGCGTGCGCAGCTCTTCAATTGCTGAGGGTTTTGAAGTCTTGAAGATGTTGGGATTCAAGAGCAGGCATCTTATTTGCTTTCTTGAGGCCATGGGCCTTGGGCAAGAACCAGTGTTGCCCCAGGGACGGCAAGATGGATTGCAGTATTGTGGATGCCTTGCGGGCTTCCAGGAATAGCTCCAAGGCTACATGGTTTTTGTCTTGGGTATGGAGCTACAAGCTTTTGGACGTTCACAGGGCTTTGGAACGATGGTGGGATACGCAAGCACAGGTGTCAGGCCGAGAAGATTGCACTGAGATCTTCATTTGGTGGTGCGTTTTTGTGAACAACCAGTTCAGGATGTTGGAAGGAAATCAGGTTGAAGAGCCCGAGAAATTATTTAGCGTTTTCGGCAAGCAGTTGAAAGGAATTGGGAAGATGCTAATGTGTTTCGACAAGTTGAGTGGTTGCGCTTATACCACGCGCATCTGGTGCATTTTCGAAGTGTTCGTCGCCTGTACGGAGGAGATACCGACCACATTGATTTTGCCAGATGTCCAAGTCACAGGCGTCAACACCCTAGGCGACTTGACGCAGGAATGTCGCGTGAACGCTGAAGCGGCCAGCGCCTACTTTGCGGCGGACGCAGAAGCCATCAAGAAGCGCATCAAAGAGAAGCACAAAGGGTTCAGGCATGTGAACCAAACGGTGGAGAAAGAGCTCTGGTGTGAGGTCATCAAATATCTGGACGGTAGGTCTCAACCTCCTACAACAGCCGCACCTGTCACAGCTGTTGCGCCACCTGCCGCCATGCCGGTGGGGCAAGCGCCGGGTGTGCAAGATGTGTCTGAGCAGACTGAAGTGTTGCAGAGGCCTCGTCCGACGTGCTGCCTTCAGTGAATTGAAATTCTGAGGTATAGTTGATGATAGCTGATAGTTGATGGATGAACATGCAGTTTTGAAGGGTGCTGGCTCCAACAAAATGCTGATTCTCCCAAATACCTCCTATTCAGATCATTTGTTTCTTGCTGCTACTTGGTCACTTGTTTGAGGGCACCATGTTCCAAGCCAGACCTGTTGAAGGATTTGAGCTCAAGCTGCTTAAGTTTGTCGAGCCCACTTGAGCTCAGTCTAGCCAACAAGGCCTGCAGCGTTTTCGGGTGCAAAAGCCATATCGGAAAAGCAGCGGGTCGGACTCCATTTCTTCCGGCTTGACAACTCGTTCGCAAGTTGGGTTTAGCGCAAATGTGAAGCAACGGAAGTTCAATCCATTTTCTATTCGAGAAACTTTTACTAGAGCACCTACAACAAACTGATTACGTTAAATCAGATATGTTGAGACTTTCATGTGTCAGACGAACCCAATGATGATTCTGTGCGCATACCTTGCACACTACCTAGATTTGTTTAGGCTAGGCCATTGCTTTGGCCTTTTGGATTTGGGAGCGCAAGAGCCGCTCTGACAGCGAGAGAACTTGCGCTTTGAAAAGGAGGAGACGCCGGAGAGGTGCTGAGAACTGTTGAGAGATGTCCGCGGACATGGAACCTAAGAGAAGGTGCAAACGGATGTTAAAGGGAGAACTGGCAGAAGTGTGGCTCGAACCATTGGGTACTGGGACATAGTCATTTTTAAAAAGAGGGCGGGAGGCCATGGTTTCCAACGACGTGGATGGTTTCCTGTCGACGATGCAAAAGATCCAGTCGCAACAGAGGGAGTCGATGGAGCGAATGGATCAGTTGCGGAACCTTCCGTGTTTTTAGATAGAGTTGTTTTTATAATAGATATACTCTTCACTCTTAAGCTGCCTTAGCCTTTTATTTGGTTTAAGAAGAGGGTTTTACGGTTTTACATGGTTTTACCCCGTCTAAGCCACTGCCATTTGGTCGTTGAAGCTTCAGCACAGAGTGCAGCCAAGGAATCAACACCTTCAGTGGCAGACGGCGGTGGAGGAGCTCCTTGGGCGGCTGGATGCGCAGCTGAAACTCCCTCAGGTGAGTTGCACGCCTGACAGACCAACTCCACCTCCAGGAGAATGGAGTATTTTTGAGTGTTTGCGGTCGGTTTTGGGGCAGCGACATCAATCAACTCATGCGTTAGAATCTGTTAGAAAGCTTTCTCTAAGAAGCTTATGCCCTTCCAAGTTGCGAATCTCCCTCTGCCAGAGGCTTGCTAGAAATATCTAGAAATCGAACATTTTTGATGTATTTTGGAGAGTTTGGACTCAAAACCCCCTAAGGCCTGCTGTTCAACTTGTTCAACCAAAGGCAGGAAGACCAAGAAAAACCTAAGAACAACCCAGAAAAAAGCCTAGAAAACACCTAGATAAACCTTAGAAAACACCTAGAAAAACCTTTGAAACAACCTAGCAACACCTTAGAACAAGCTACCCCTGGTCGTTTTTATCCGGTATCGCTCGAGGAGATGATCCGCAAGTCATGGAGATCGAGCCCGAGGAGCTTCAGATTGAGAGTGTGGAGTCTCGGCGCAGCTTGGAGTCCAACAAGGATATGACGCCCAAGAAGTTGAGCAACTTGGAACTGACCCAAGGTCATCTGCAGAAACTTGGACGATCATTTATTGAATATTATGGGGTTGCTTGGGAGGTGTTTCTATTTGAGTGCGACATGAACGTTTGTTTGTTTGTTTGTTTGCTTTCTTGTTTGTTTTAGTGTTAGGGTTAGTGTTAGTGTCAGTGGTATTGGGAGAAAAGAACCCCCTGTCAGGCACAAACAAAAACAGTTCAACGATATTTGATGTTAGTTTCAAAAGTAGAGATGAACATAATTGATCATGACAAGACTATAAATGTAATATATATATATATATTTATATGCATATAGATATATAATAGATATACATGTAAATATAGAGCTGCAGCGAGTGTACACCTCACACAAGCGACGTTTGGGGACTGACGAAAGATTTTGAAGGGAGACAGAGTGGGAAGGACTCAGATTACAAGCAACTGGAACCCTAACAGTTTAACAGTTGTGGAGAGCTTTGGGAAGGGTATCAACTTGCAATAGGAATCCTTGATGGTAGATAAGTTAGATATGACTTCACATGAGAAAGAAAACTAGAATCAAACATGTCCGGTGCCCCATGTCTAAGGACACTGGTGACTGAAGTCATGATGGATCATAGTGAACCGGCGCACTTGACCGGCAATGGTCTTTGGCAAGAGGGCCGTCGCGTTTTGTACAAGTTTGTCAACTCGCGGAGCTTTGATTATGTGGCAGGCCTGCGCGGGTCTCTTCGTAGGGTGCTTTTCGAAGTTGGCCATATTTTTTCCAATACCAGTTAAAGCAGCAATCCGATTCTTTGTGCTTTTGCAGAACGTACGTGGGTATTGGCTTTGATCCATGCTTTTCCCCAACAGCTGAAAGTGGGGCAGCCCGCCAGAAACCATACCTCAGGTTCCGGAGGTTGAGGGTTCCCGGTTTTGGGGAGGTTGTGTGGTGTTATGGGAATCATGAAGGTACGGCGCGTCAAACAAGGTCAGGATGTGTAGAGTGTCCCAAAAGCGGTGGGCGGATTTTTTTGTGGGTGTGGCATCCAAGATGAATGCTTCAAGTTGCTTTGAAAGTGCGCAAAAGCCTGGCAGGTGTCATCATTATGCTCAACATGGTAATGATTGGCGTTGAAGCCGAACTCTCATTGCACGACCCTCACGTTCGATGGGCTGCTTGGGTGGAGCGTGCTTTTCTGGCCGTCTATGCGGTGGAGCTTGTCCTCCGATTGTTGGCGGGTGGCCGAAAAATTCTCCATAGCAGCTGGTTTTGGCTGGATTTCTTCTTGGTTGCTGTAGGCAGGTGCTTGCGATTTTCGAGTTGGCCAGATTTTCTTTTGTTCTCAGCCGTTGTTCACCACAAGAGTGCGGCATTCACCCTCGTTTTGGCGAAAAACTTTGCTGATCGAAAAAAAACTAACGTAGACCCGAGGCTGCCAAGTTTATGGTCTCAGAAGTTGTTGTTTTTTTGGATTATTTCCTTCTGAAGCCCCAATTTTTGGGGGGGGAAGATGGTTGGAGATAAGACGGAGATGGTGCGCTTTCCACCTGCCGCTCCTGGGCTAGGCCTCCTGGCCTCGTACCCCTGAACAAGGTGCTGGTGGTGCGTGCCTTGCGACTGCTGCGCTTGGTGCGGTCCCTCCGTATGGTGGGCCATTTCAAGGCGTCTTTCCATGTCTTTCCCAGCTTTCGACTTGTCATGGTTCCAATGCATCATAGATGACCTCATCGTGAAATACTTAGGATTTAGACTTACAAACAAAAAACTGAGTTGTTGACGCTTTTGCAGGTCATTTGGCGCTTGGTCTATGGCATCCTCACTGCTGGGCACACCATGCTGTCGGTGGTTGCTTTGCACCTTGCTTGGTGAAGAATTGAAACTCCGCGCCGGGGGGATGTTTCTTCCTGAAACCCTCAAAAACTGCATCATAGAAAGGACATTGGATATTCCTGGGACGAAAATCCGGAAAGGCACCAATGGCGCCTTTCAAGAGCATACAGTTGGACATAGCTGCTCTTCACCTTCCTTTTTGCGTTCGTTACAGTTTGACGAAACTTGAAACACATGTTGAACGGTTATCGCATGTTATCCCGTCCCTCATGTTTGGCTTAAAACCATCCTTCAAAGGACAGAACTGCGCGTTAAATCAAACATCTCCAAACGTTTTTCCAAATCAAAGTCCAAATTCTTTCAGAAAATGTGCGAACCAACCCCCCCCATTTTGAAACATTGCATCTTTATTGTATACCCTCCTTTTTTTCCTTTCCCACTTCTCAGGATTGCCTTGGGCCTTTGGGTTTGCGGTTGCGTGGCGATCGAAATCATCACCAAGGAGAGTTCTTTGGGGGTTTTGATATGTTTTGATGGTGAAAGTTTTTGGGTTTGTTTTGGGGTCTTTTCTTTCTTTCATTTTTGGGTTTTTGTGGGGCCTTTGATAAGCCGAAGCAAACCGCGTTCTTTTGCCTTTGCGCTTCGGCTTGGTGCTTCGGTTTGCTGCCAGGACCCGGACCTGGCGAGCGATCTGCGCACCGAGCAGATCGTGGAGGAGAACTTTGGGACGTTGGGCAGATCCTGTTTGACCTTGTGACTTGGCAGATGGAACAGCTACCCCAACCCCATCTCAAAGCACCCCCTGACTTAGCAGAACTAAGAGGGGAAAGCGAGGAGAGGTGAGGCTGGTAAGGCTGGTAAGGAAGCTGAGTGTGAGTTTTGAGGAATTCAAGAGGTAAGACTGGTAAGGAAGTATGAGAAGTGTGAAGAAGGTGGAGAAAGGTAGGTGCATGTCTTCATGTCCTTGTGGTTTTGCTTCGACAGAAGCTATATGAAATCAGAGGCAGTGTTGGAGTTATGTGCGTTGGAATTATCTTGTATACAGGAGCGATGTGATCATAATTGATACCCTTGGAAGACCTCTTTCCTGGCCATTTTATGGCTCAGGAGAGTAAAGGCTATCTATCAAAGGTCTGAAAAGGACAAGCACAGGAAACAATCTATGTACCACAAGTTCGTGGGGCCGTTTGGTATGCTTGTTAGTATATAACTCTCTTAAAAAAAGAAAAAAACAACCTAGGAAACCCTAGAAAACCAAAAAAAGCAAACCTTAGAGAAAAAAAAAGCAACAAACCAAAACGAAGCTGAAACGTGGGCGATTCCACTGCCGAGGCTGCAGTTTGCCACCTTGGACTCCATCGCACAGGTCTACTTCCCACTCATCATGGTGAAGCTATAGCTGGCTATAGCGTTAGTGCACTGAAAAACTCCTAAAAGGGATTTCCCACGGGAAAGCCACCTGCAGGTCGTTTAACCTTAAACCCAAAAAAAGCCCCAAAGTGGTTTATCTTAGGCATTTCCCTTAAAAAAAGCCACCTGCAGGTCGTTTAACCTTAGTATATAACCGTTAGCAAGGGACCTTAGCCAACCAAGGAAGGAGTGGCTCTTGTTCTTCTTCTTGCCCATCATGCTCTTCCTTTCGATCGCCTTGATGAACCTCGTCTTCTGGCCGGGGAGACGCTTTTAGGTGCACATACACGCATGTGGGTAGAGATATAGACGTAGATGTAGATTATAGATGCAGAATAGGTATATAGATATAGATGTTAATCATTCATGGGTAGGCAGGCGTGGTGATGATGCATTATTTGTTACGGCAAGACGACTTGACGTGTTGGCTCAAGCCAAAACAGGGAGTCGCCCCAAGATCTGTGGCGTTCCCCCTTGTTCCGGTCCATTTCCGCGCCCCATGTCGGCCGCCGCGGCGCAGATTGCTTTGGTGGCGGCTGAGAAGCCCCGGAACTGGTGTGCCGACAGGGGCATTGAGACCTCGAGTGACCAACAACCTTGTCCGAGCTTGATTAGAAGCCGGTGCAGACCCACCCATGGCTTGGCGGCCTTGGTGCGAGGTCGCCGCCATGACGAGCAGGTCTATCAGGGTCGCCCTGCACCATCGTCGACCCTTTTCTGTCCACGCTTCTCGGCGCGGATCTCAATGAGGCTGTTGGCTGCCTTCCTCAGGAATGTCTTTTGAATCGTTTGTCCTTTCATCTTGCGAAGGCGCCGCCACTTCTGTGTCTCAGTGGTTTGGGAAGGCATGAGTGCATGAGGAGATAGGGTTCCTTGGCAGACAGCACATGACCTGGAGGGTCAAGTTTATCCAAAGCATTTCAAAGAATTTGATTGATGAACTCTATCTAGTCCGTTAAAAGAAAAAGGAGCGACGCTGCTTTGTGAAACTCAAGGAGCGAGGTTTCATACGGAACCAAAGATGTTAATCATTCATGGGTAGGCAGATGTGCGATGATGCATTGTTTGTTACGGCGTGACGTCTCGCTCAAGCCAAAACGGGAAGTTGCCCCTGCGGCGCAGGTCTAAGATATTTTTGTGCCCACCCACCACAAACCTTTTTGTCTGCGCAGACAGCACATGACCTGGAGGGTCAAGTTTATCCAAAACATGTCAAAGAAGAATTTGATTGATGAACTTCATCTAGTCCGCTAAAGGAAAAGGAGCGGCGACGCTGCTTTGTGAAACTCGAGGGGAGAGGTTTCATACGGAACCATATACAAATATTACACCACAATGGCATGCTGCGCGACATGTGCTGGCCAGGGAGGAGAAAACAGAAGTCGCATGCAGAAAACGGCTGGTAACGCTGCTTTCTGACACTGATGTAATGTTGACCTACGATTAGTAAATAGACCATGAATAATGCTAACCGATTTCAAAAAATAATAATACATATACCATGAATAATGCTAACCGTTTTTCCCAGGTGGAAAAATATGAAAAAAATGAAAAATGATATAAAGTAATTCAAAAAAATAACCTTCCCCCCACATGAGTGAATGAATCCTGAGTTCCCCAGCTGACAAAAGAACCTAGAATTCCCATTGGGATCCATGCAAAATGAAGACTTGTATTCAGGGTCAGTGCTCCCAACCCTCATCTCCCATGGAATTTGCATGGTTTCATAGTGAATTTATCCAGGGATCATGCCAGGGAAACCTGATTTACCATGGGATTTGCATGCTGAAGAATTTGATCGGTCAGTTTGGGGTTTTACATCCATTGCATCCGCAGTGTGGCTGTTCAAGCGTGAAAATGTGCGAGCAGCGCACTTGGACGGTTTGTTGTTTCCTTTTGGGCCCCAAACCGGTAACCCTTGAATCTATAGGTTATCAGCCGTAGGCCCCTAGCTCTAAGCAATGGACGGTTCCCTTGTGCCAGTTGATGGATCCAGCATGCCTGTGGATGCTGCCGGAGCTAGCTCCGGCAACGCCACCGGCGGCGGTGTGCGAATGTTCGCATCAAGCGCTAATGCGCAATACAACCGCACCCTGATGAATTCCCTTCAACTGTACAATACCGCAATCTTTGCTTTTGGGAATGATGCAGCCATTAGGTCTGAAGCCGAAGCCCTGCATCAAGCAGCTGTTACGCATTTGCAAGCGGAAAACCGTGAGGAGCTCCGTGCCGCACAGAATCAGCTGCATGCACACTACGCTGAATGTGTGCAAGCCCAGTCGCATAGGATTCGTGAATACGAACAGCGAGTGAGCAATGAGTTCATGCAAGAAGTGAACTTCGCTGAAGCTAGGATAAGCCAAGTGTGTGAGGAAAATGCCCAAGCATTGCATGAAGCGGAAATGGGACGCAAAACAACTGAGTTTAGGCAAGCCATCGAATCCACCCTGGCGGAAGCCCAGCAGCTCCTCCATGAGCAAGCTGCCAAGCATGCCGATGACACAGCCCGTGTCGAGGCTACACACGCCAGAACGGTTGACATGATGGCCCACCAAAACGGGCTTCTGCAGGACGAGCTCGATGAGCTGAAGAAGTGTCAGAAGCTACACGACCTCCGCGAGGATGGTTCGAAGCCCAAAGGGGTAGGTGATACCCGAGAGGATTCACCAGAGTTGATGACCGACGACATGAAGTCAGCTCGGTCCCAAAGGTCAATGTTGGACCCGTTGACCCATCCGTTTCAATATGCAAAGGAAAAGTTGAGGTCGCTTGTTACCTATGACGGTTACGGGGATGAATATACCCCTAGCGTGATTCCAACTGCCGAATGCGAAGCACTGCCCGCAGATGCTCGCGATCCGCAAGGACCAGCTGAAAAGCCATCAGGTAGCAGCCGATCCCCGGTGAAAACAAGTGCACCGGTCCCACCCCTGCAATTCTCTCAGGGGCCAATGTCAACTGACCGCAAGCAGGGTGGTAAGCCTCCCGGCGGTCCGCCACCTGATGATGATGGCGATGGCGATGGTGATGAAGACGAAGGTGATGGCCTCGGGCCTAACCTCGGCCAAGAAGCATTCGCCAAAATGTTGATGAAGTTAGTAAAAGGCCACACGAACGATGAAAAGCCCAGAACTCGCGAAAGCGAGACGTTGCGATTCAAGGAGATGCCAACCCCTGAAACGTACCGTGAATGGAAGACATCGGTTCGTGAGGACGTCCGCGCCGCATCTGACCGTCCAGACGAGGCTTGGCCTTGGATCATGGAAGTCTGGTCCGATCGCGAGGACAAGAAGAAGCTGTTGGAGGAGCTCGGCGAACCGGGAAAATTCGTGACACTAGACACGAAGATTCTCGCAGCGCTCACGCGTTCAGCGAAAGGCGATCTGGCTCAGCGAATCCTAACAGCAAAGGAAGAATGCGCCAAGGAGGGAAAGGCCATGAGAGGAAGGCAGGTCTTGTTTATGTTTGACCAATATTTCAAGACCAGTGAAGAAGCCGGAAACCTCTACTCCTTGGAAGACCTGTTGCGTGTCTCGCGACACGGCGAAGGAATCATTGATCTCAAGCGTTTCCTGAACGCTTGGGATTCCGTGATCGCCGGCATGAAAAGGCCGCCGGAAGAGAAGGTGTTGAAAGACATCTTGCTTCGCCAAGTGAGAAGCTGCCATCTGTTGCGGTATGACATTGACACATATGATCGCTGCCGTGATGATGATCCCAATAAATCGTACGATTTCCTAATGCGTTGCATGAGGGATCTAATCGAGAGGGATAGGCTCCGCGAGAACCGAGAGCGCGTGTCCAAGGTCAATGCCAGTAAAGCCCCGACGCCCAAGGCTGGTGCTGCCGCCCCTGAAAAGAGGGACCCCAAGAAAAAGAGCGCACCTAAGCCGAAGGACACCGAGGAGAAGTACTGTTTTGACTTCCAGAAGGGCTCGTGCACGAGGGGGGCAAACTGCCCTTACGCGCACCGCAAGGAGCCGCGAGGACGCTCAGCGACCCGTGGCAGGCCAAGTTCCCCCAAAGGCGGTAAAGGAGAGAAAGCACCGTGTTCTTTCTTTGCCCAAGGGAAGTGCACTAGAGGTGACAAATGCAAGTTTAGCCATGCCTCCACGGGCGGCAAATCTGCCGCCGCGGCATCGAGCAGCGAGGCCAATGCAAATCCTGCGGCTAAGAAGCGTGCAAATTCACCTAAGCCTAAGCCCAAGGCCAAAGCCGCTGCAGTCTGCACCAGGTACGCCATGTTCGCAAAGCCGATCGATCCAATCGGAGTGTCATTCGACACCAATGCTCACGTGCATGAGATCCCCGCCGAAGGCGATGGTTTCAAGCTTGAGTATGAGGAACGGCAGTACAATAGGATGTTTCCAAGTGCCAAGGACTGCCCCAGGCCGACCAAAGGGACTAACAAGGCAGCGCGCAAGGCCGCGAACCAGTTGAATGCCGTAGTCAAAGCCATGGAGAATGGAGCCCAGCCCGCTTGCGGTTTCATGTGCGATGTGGAATCCGATTCCATCTCAAGCCTATCGTGTGATGAGTGCCTGAGAGTTGCCATGCCGCCTCACGATGTTCGCAAGGATGTCGAAGCGCCAAGGGCAGCCACCCCTGCCCCAAAGGGAAAGGACGTGTGGCTCATTGATTCCGGTAGTGAGCAGGACCTCATCAGCAAAGCTGCACTGAGGAATGCGTCCAAGGCAATCCGAAAACAGGCCCCGCAGCCCATTCGCCTTGTGACTGCAAACGGAAACATCACTGCTTCCGAAATCGCCGACATCAATGTCGATGCATTGTGTGAGCCTGCTCAGCCTTACATCCTCGAGAGTTCTCCCGCAGTGCTGTCGCTGGGTGTGAAGTGTCTGGATCAAGGATATTCCTTTCATTGGGAATCCGGGAAGGCACCAACCATGATTCGCCCTGATGGTGCTCTGATCCAGCTCAAGGTTGACGGTCATGTGCCATACATGGACTCAAGTTGTGAAGCTGAGCCATCGTTGAGTGCAGTAGCAGCATCCAAGCCAGCGCCTGCTCCGGTTCATGACGAAGGCATCGACGAAGGTGATGATCCCGACGACGAAGTTGAGCGGTTTGTGAGATCCCGCAAAGAGGAAGATCTGGTTGCCGAAGCGAGTACCAAAGAGCACTTGTTTGCACACTATCCGAAGAATCCCTTTTGCCGCACCTGCCAACGTGCCAAGATGCTTGCCCCATATGCGAGATCGAAAGGTGGGCAGGGAAGGCTCGAAACGAAAG